CGAATTTGGTGGGTTTTGCCGGTCACTTTCGAAAAAACATAAAAACGAATAAAAATACCAAATGGATCCCTCTGGCTCCTAGCAGCGTTCATGCCCCTCTGTCGAATGCACTAAAGTACCGAATAGCGCTCTTCTAGCTATTCGGTAAATAGAGTTCCAGCTTTCGTCTGTTTGGGACCGGTGTTCGGGAAGTCGAGTGTCCGTAAAACAGTTCCATTCACTCGACGACCAGGTCCCGCTGCCTTTGTTCGCATGAACAGAGATGGCCGCGGTTTTCTCTGCCACGTGGCGTTCGACTAATGAACGCTGGCCGCACAGACAGAGGTAGCAATTTCACCTAAACCTTTGATGTTTAATGAGCCAGAGGGTGGTCCTTGTTCGGTAGTTCCATCTACCGAATGCAATAGGCAGAAATGGGGATAAAAAGGGAATGCAAACAGTAAATAACATAGGGAACAGGGGGGTTTCTTCACACGGGGGATCTGGGTGAACCACATATCCAAAATTCACCCAGATCCGTTCAGTACTTTGGAAGATACAGTTTAATGCAGATTCTGCAGAACATATACAGGCTATATGAAAAATAATTACTGTATAATGTGTCCCCTGTTGTATAGTTTAAAACTACTGCACAATGTCTTTGTGCACCAAATACCGGCGAGATGGCACCGTGTAGAAAAGTCCAAACAGTGTCTGTGAGTTAATACATGTGCCTCTGATACATGAAATGGTGACCACCCATTAACTCCACAGTATGTCCCCAGATGGTTCTTAAAGGGCCAGCATCAGCACAACACAAATCCATTATGCCCACATCATGTCTTTAAAGGGCAATACATCCCAGGGGCCATAGTCACATGGCAGGAGGCTGGCAATCAGTCTTCTCCAATGCCCAGTGGCGAGGTCGGTTTCTCTACACTGGAATTCGAGCTAATAATTGACCAATGAGGTTCTGTTCACTGGAAACTCAGAGATCTAATCCCTCTTTTCAGCTACCAGGTAAGGTGTAACTCCACTGATGGGGACATAGTCAGTGGCTGACTCCAATAATCTTTCTCTTGTTAAACCAAGATAGGAAGGATCTGTGAGGAATCCAGAGATGCCGTTGGGCCCATCTGACAAGTCTGCTGGTGGAAGCCAGGATTCCTAGTAGTTGCATCTAGTTTCTTGCTGTTACCAAGCAGAAATGAAGACATTCAGCCTCTTGTTGGCCCCTCTTTGGTCCAGTGTAGGTTTTCATGTGCTTTTCCTCTTAGCACCAGAAGAGAGGCGAAACTTGTCCCTGGAACTGCTCTTGTTCTGGGACCTAAAAAAATCACATCTTCGTCCAGAATGCTTCTTCCTTCAGTGCTTTACCTTTTGATTCTTTGGTCTTAATACTCCTGTTGGTATGGAGAATCCTGTGCCTGAAGAAAAAACTCCAGTCTATATCAATCTGGACTATGGATACCACTCAAGCCTCCAGAGTATGACGAGCCCAGGTATGTGTGATCAGAAAAATGGGCTCCTAGTACTGGAGGAGACCTGTTCATTGCTGAAGAGCAAAACAACTGCTTAATAGCTCCATTAGAACCTTGAAAGGCAGGCTTACCAACTGCCACGAGTTACCTCTGGAGTATACCCTGCAGGGTCAGTAGCTCCATGTATCTCAGAAATACTGGTCACTGGAGGTTCTCCGGTCAGACTATGAGGAGCTGGGATCCTTGGAACTTCCGTCCGGAGGTACAAATAACTTGCAGCCCTCATTCGCCTTTTTAATGGAATTATCTAAAGTTTTCCCAAACAGCACCACCCCTTCAAATAGAATGGTGTAGAGGGCAGACTTGGAGGATGAGTCATCATCCCAGAAACAGAACCACAATGCTTTCTTAGCTGCTATAGCTAAAGCCATTTGATCCAGAGAATATCCTAGTTACATCTAGGGAAGTTTCTGTGAAGAAGTCAGTTTAACCTGAAGACTCCAGACTGCCTCTTCAATCTTGGCTTTTAATATCTCTCTCCATAGTAGCCTTTAGATCTTTAATCACATATTTCATGTTTGTAGAAACTGCAGCGGAAGTCACCGTTGGCTGGCCTCCTGCAATGGTAGGCATAAAATTTTGGACAGTTCTGCGTCCACCTATGATCCATAAGTTTGTAACTTAGGTGGTGTAGTTCTGGGGTTGGAAATAACTTCCTCCACAGGGTAAAGCCTGGCCTCTTTTCTTACCCCTAAGGCCTCTGGAATTTTGTAAGCCTTGCCCGCATGTCATGTGGAGGCAGTCAGTGCATAAGCGATTCCTTCCACTGTTTTCTCCTCATAACCAGATCCTGGTGAAGAATCAGACATCTGACAAATAATAACAACTAAATATTACCTGTGGTAAAGTATTAAGTAAAAAAGTGCACTATTAAATTCTATAAGAAACCAGTGAAACAGCTTTAAAACAGGCTGCAGACAGCACTTATCCATGTCTTGAGACCCTGGAAATACTTACCAAATAAGTGTGGTATGTTTACTGTAATTTCCCCTTTATTTTAGGAACTTTCTGGCAATTGCCCTTATCCAAGATGGCTGCCACAGCTTGTATTCCCACAATGCAAGTCATCTGTATTAGGCCCATTAAGGCACAAACTGCACACATGTGGGCCTATTCCGAGTGTGTTTGTGGTTTAGAGGCCAGGGAGAGTATTCTGTCTGAACCCTACATGGCCCCTAAACACCCAGGGAACCAGGGATAAATCACTGGGACCAAGGGGAAGCAAAATAGAGAACAAAAGTGCCTGCAAGGAAGTTTAAAAGGCAACCACGTGCAAAAAGTCAATGTTTAAAGGCACCACAGTCTAAAGGCATCAATGTATAAAAGGTAACAGTTTCCAAAATGTATCACAGTTTTCAAACGCACTGCAGTCTTTCAAATGTACTGCAGTTTCCAATGACTTGCGGTATTACATGCAACAGTATTAAATGCAAATTTAAATGAAACAGTTTTAAATGCCACACAGCTTAAACGCAAAACAGCTTAAATGCTTCCTGGTAAAAGCTCAACCGCATAATGTACCACAACCTTAAAGATAAGGTACAGCTGTATAATGCACTAGTTTGAAGATATCAAAGCTTAAATGCATCACAGCATAAAAGCACTACTGCATAATGTACTACAGTAAAACAGGCAAATAAAGTAATGAAGATTAAAAAAAAACATACATGTCCGTAAGTAAAGGGAGCAAATTGCTCACGTCCTAAGGGCTGTAGGACAGGAAAAAGACTGAGGACCTTAGGGATGGAGCCTCCTTTTAAAACCTTGGTGGTTTTCCTGTCCTATCGGCTGTAAGGGGAGGAGCTAACCCATGTGTATATGCTGCCATGATTAGCCAGGAAAAAATTATATACTGTGATATGTGTATCTATACATGTTATTAACATGAAACATATATACAAAGGGTGCATTAAGAGGCAGAAAAGGCTTCCAAAATAGGTACAGAGGATAGACAAAAAAGGCTGAAATGGATCCAAATCAGGAAAACTAGACAGAGGAGCCAGACGTACAGTGTTTGAAGAAAAAATAATAATAATTGAGAGAGAGAAACCCTAAAAATGGCGGAGGGAGCAACGAGAACAGAAAAACTATTTCTCGTCCCTATCTCGTCTCTTTACTTCTCTCCTAAATAACACAAACTTGTCCATTCAGGTATAAGACTTTGGCTCTCCCTGTCTTAGAGACTATTTTTCAGATGTTGCTATCACGGCATAAATTCTGCAACTCAAGTGTCAGTTTATAGTGAATATATTTAGCAATTCAGAATTTAATTTGATAGAATTTGCTATAGTGTAAGATCTGTAACATTATATAGAGGTCTATTATATTTTACACTATTATGGAGCCTGCAATCATTTTATTAAAAAGTAAATGCATAAAAATACTGTAACAGATACTGACTTCTACAGCAATTCCTGTATCGCCTATCCAGCCTTTAAAAAAAAACCAAAAAAACAAAACTCTATATTTACTAAAATAGGCAGCATGAAGAAAAACAACTATGTATTAAATAAGGATAAAAAGTTACGCTGTTATGTTAGCTGGGATAACATGTTGCGTCAATGTCCACCTTGTGGCTGTAACTGGAATTGCAGATAACTTACAAAACGTTTCAGCGTTAATTTTGCAATAATAATAAACATTTTTTTTCATAGCGATTTTTCCTCAAATGGAAGCGCTTTACGTACTCTCACTGACAGACTCCAGACTTGAATGTTGTGTTGGCAGACAATGGAAGTTAACTCACTAATGATAAACCCTCAAGTGTTCCACTCAGAAAATGACTATAGAAAATTTAAACTATTATAAAAGAATATCGGGTATTTTGCCGTTAAAGGGATTTCTTTGTGAAAAATCTTAAATCCGAATAAGTTTTACACCACAGACGGTGCATTGTAACTAGCAACACTGTGTAATTCATGTTAAAGAGAAAATATTTCCTCTCATTAGACTCTGAAGTTTGCTGAATCATTCTGATTTGTAAGAAAACATTTGTAACAAACAGGATCTCTGCATTAATTACTCATAAAAATGTGATCCGATCAGCTGCTAAATTACAATATCAGACAAACACAATCTGCCTATGGCTGTATGGCCATTTCTGACTTTTTCATAAAGATAGAACGTTTCTTAAAAACCTGTTTAACCTGTGCTAAAATTTCAGTGTCTCGGGTATGTTTGAATTTTGGAAAAATGTGGCAAAAGGTAGAGCTCTAACATGTTTCCTTCTGTCTACATTGTCATTCCTCGGCAGATGTCACATGTAATAGCTGAGGAACAAGTAACCTCTGACAAGAGCCCGTATGGCCAAGATTATCAGTTTCCCAATGAGTAAAAACAGGGCCCCACTCAGCGAATATATATCCTTTACTCTCTTATAGTTTAAATGAAGTACAACACAGCAGCAAATAGGGAGAGGTAGAGGACCAGATAGAGGGTTACGCATATGCATTTTGTGGCTTTAAGAAACCTTCTTAGTAGCACTTTCTTAACTTCAGCTCCAGTATCTCATTAGATGCTCAATAGATGAGAATAACATCCCATTGCCCATGAAAGAGCAGATCTGTTACATGATCTTCCATAAACCTCTGTTTTGTACTCTTGTCCATACATGAGAGTACAAGAATGATGAACAGCAGTCAACTTCCTCTCACAGGAGCTGAGGATGTAATGTTAATTCAATTATTTTGTGAAAAGTCCCGACCCTTAACTCTTCTGTGAGAGCCATTCTGTTGTTGATTTACTCCAGTGTTTTCAGTCACTGGAGAGATTTATCAAAGTACTGTGCTCTGTAAAGTAGGGGCAAAGTACCAAAGGTGAGGCGGTCACCATGGAAACCAATGCAATCGATTGAAACACAGTATTTTATTAATGACTATTCCACTTTTACCATTTTGCTTCACTTTTCACTTTGGTAAATCTCTCCTACTGTCTACAAAGCTTCACATGACCAGCTCCTACATTTTTATACTTGTGTAAAATTTCTTACATACGATTTTGAATTCATTGTTCCCTCGGTGGTGGCAAGCTATGAAGGCTCAGGGGCATCAAAGTGGTCTCGAATCTTGATTTCCCTCTAGTGTCCTTAATGGTTAATAAACCATTCATGCATGGCAGTGCACATTTCAACTTCTGTTTCACTGAACTAAAGAACAATATTCTAGATAGAACCATTATAAAAAAATTCCAGGTGATTCGTTGACCCATGCATCACAGCATCACATGTTGCAAATTTACAATGATCTTTCCATGACACCGTAATTTGCCTTCATGTCGATTGATGAACAACAAGGCATTTAAAATTTATAAAATTGAAATAAGCCCAGGTAATACATGATTCAAATGTCACCCCCTTACTCACATCTTTGATTAGTGTATAGAACACAAATATAAGTGGAAACAGGGGCATTAGATTGGAAAGTGTAGTATGTACACATTACATATGGTATACACCGAGTGAATAGTTATCTAATTGTTTGTATAAAAACATGTAAGTTAAAACAAAAAAAAAAAGATTTTATCATCGCAACTTAGCATACAAATTTAATAAACCCTTTTCAGACAAGGCAACTTGCAAAATAACATAACTGCACAAAAGAGCTGTTGTCACAGTTGCTCGGTAGTTCCACCCAAACTCCACCTCGTTTATACATCTCGAATCCACTGAAGACACTATGTCCTTTTAAAGTTCCTCTGGATTTCTCTAGATGTTTGTGGTCAAGGCAAATGGGCACCCACAAGGAACCTCTTCCACATGTCGACTTGTTTGTAGCCTTGCTTAAAAACTTTATGTTTCATTCACTACATCAGACTTTCTTAGAGGCTGATTCGTTTTCCTGTTTTCAATGAATTTATAGGTCTGTCTGTTATCACTCCACATTTTCCACCACCATTTCTGACTTCACTGCACAGGTGCACGACTCCACCCCACCATGCTCTATTTTGAATGTGACGTCAATAAGTCTTTCCCCAAAAAAACCTTTTAACAAAGAACATTTCCACTGAAATATCAGTAGGATTTCAGATCTGGATCTATTTTGCAGGTCATTCTTAAAGAGTTAAACATCAATAAATCTTATACAATATAAAGCGTAGGGAGAATGTTTATTTGCTATTATATATCTTATTGTATTCACTATGTATGCTATATATTATTATAATTTCTCTTTTTGTTTACGAATACATTTTAAATAAAAATAACTCTTTTTAGTCTATTGTTTGTGGGCCGCATATCTTTATTATATTATTATTATTAATCTATATGCATAGATTTTTACTTAATTATTAACTCATAAGTTTTATTTTAATTCAGTCATTCTTACCGTTCCCCAATGAAATATTTTTGATGTCAACATTTGCCTACCAAATTTATGATTTTGACTTTAAATTGTCATTAAAGTCCCTAGTTATCAAGATCAATTCATGTATCAAATTCTGAGAAATTTGATTTAAAATACATTAAATGATAGAATTGGAAACATGTACCATTTGACAAACAGAATATCAATATCAATCTGTAGTTTCATAACACTTGTTATGTACAAAACACGCCTGGTTTTATGTGTAATAGTCTGAATATTATGTTGGAGTCATCTTACATTGATTGACATTCACATGTATTTGAATTTATAAAGTATCTGTGGTTTTCTTTTCTGTTCCACCCTTTATATTGTTTCTAGTTGTTCTGCAGGTTGTTGTTCCATAAGAGTTTCCTTATTAGAAGTTTCATTCTTCTGTGATAGTCCAGGGCTTTCAGTTTGAGGAAATAGTTCATACAAAAAAAATCTGATAGGCATGTCACTGCTGTTTGCATTTATGGACATAGTAACCGGTGACATATCCAATGATAAAAACAATCCAAAAGAATGCCAATCCCCCTATCACTTTCACTACAATGCCAATCTTGCCCGTACACAGCATGTTCCAGACCCTAAAAATAAAACAAAAATAATGAGTTGAACTTGTCACCTTGTTTTATAAACTTTTAGTTTGTGCAGCATTCAAATTTGTTTGCTTGTTTTAAGTCGGTAATATTGTTTAGCACTCTAGACACTTCTGGTATTTTAAAGGGACACTATAGTCACCAAAACAACTTTAGCTTAATGAAGCAGTTTTTGTGTATAGATCATGCCTCTGAAGTTTCACTGCTCAATTCACTGCCATTTAGGAGTTAAATCACTTTTGTTTCTGTTTATGCAGCCCCAGTCACACCTCCCCTGGCTGTGACTGACACAGCCTGAATGACAAAAAACGGCTTCATTTCATCAGATGTAACTTAGTTTAAGTTCTTTTATCTCCTGCTCTGTAAATTGAACTTTAATCACACACAGGAGGCTCCTGCTGGGTCTGGCAAATTATTAACAGAGCAGGGGATAAGAAATTCTAAATGAAACAGAATTTACAATAAAGGAAGAATAAACATTAGATGACTCTTTACAGGAAGTGTTTAGGAAGACTGTGTAAGTCAGAAACATGGACGTGTGAACAGGTCTGGATGAACAAAGTGATTTAATTCGTAAATAGCAGAGAATTGATCAGTGAGACTGTAGAGATCTATACACCAGAATTGCTTCATTAAGCTAAAGTTGTTTAGGTGACTAAAGTTTCCTTTTCAGGTTGGTCTGTGGTCTGTCCTGCTCGGAGTATAATAACACAAAGAACAAAGGGGAATTTAGGGCACACCCGGAATATACATTTCTCAACAGTGGTATTGCTGTAAAGACCATAATTTACACAAGATACAGATTCAGCACTGCTCCTTAATCTGTATTTTGCATAATAATTTATTCAAATGTACAAATTGCCATTTATGCTTTCTGTTCTCTGATAGGTGCAGGTAGAGCTATTGCTGTGATTTTCTATAAACAAACAAACAAACAAACAAACAGGAACTATTTAAAATATCTTTGATTTCATAATTAAATCAAGCCTTTGCTCGGTAACTTTACCTTCTCCATGTTGGGGCCTCAGAGGAAGATGTGGTCACACTCACTTCATCTTGGTTTTGGTCATTCCACCGACTATACTGGACTCCAGGGGCTTCCTGTGACTGCATCGTCTGTTTTAAAAAAAGAGGGCGCATACATTACCACTTTATTATGTCAAGGTTGGAGAAACAAAGACAATTCACAAACTTCTTTACTAAAGTGTCAATGTTGGGGGATTTAAAGTGAATTCCAAACTTTAGACCAAAATATCTCAAATTGTGAACATGGCTGACTGAGAATTTTTCCAGTTCAGTTATTTTGACATAAAATGTGAAATTTTCTTTGAATTTGTGACTATTTACACTTTAATAACTATGTCAGACATCTAAATAGTGTGTGTAATGCCTATACTGAATGTTGTTGGTGTTCTAGCTGGCATAGCCTACATTTCCCATGATGCTCCACAAACATTAAACCTGACAGAGTACCATGAGAACAATGGCCCTGATAGGTTGAGTGCCATGTTAGACATTACTAATGTGGGCATTACAGTGCATTATGCAAGCAATTTGTGGCCTTCACATATGATAATGATATACAGTGAAGTTAGAAAGGAAAAAATGGAACTGCAACATCTCTTGATCTACTATACATATCTATACTTTTTTTGTTTAATTTTTTAAAAATAATTTTTACAGTGCCCTCAGACCTAGAAACACAGCTCAGTTGTGCTTTTTCAAACATTTATAAACCTTCATTGAGAGCAAAATACCAGTAAGGAACATAGTGAGTTACAGAATGATTTATGATTTCTTAAAGCATGCCATAGGGTACATCACCAGTTGTGGGGGCATTAGGAAACACAGTAGGAAACCAAATGTAATTATATAAAGGAGGAGGGCAGTCTACATTGGTAAAATGGGAACTGAGAGAAAGAAAATAGAGAGAGGGGGGTTGGAAGGAATCAGGGGAGATTGGAGTAATGGCACATATATATATATATAGTAAATACAATGTTAAACAAAAAGCTGCAGACCTGTCAGCCCACAGTTCTCCCACAGAAATCACAAATCTGCAGTGATGTTACTACCGCAAAGGATTCTGGGTGGGCATATGCAAATTAGTTCAACAAAGCATCACATTTTTGCCTCATTCCATTTTAACCCCTTAAGGACGGCGGGCGTGCTATGCCATCCTTAGGGACCTGGCTCTAAACGCAGGGGGGCGGCATAGCATGTCCCCGCCGTCCTTTTAACTTACCCGGTCGCCGGCAATCCCACGCCGGCAATTGCAGTGTGGGAACTCACCTGGGAGCCCAGAGAGTCCCCGTCTGTCCGTTTCGGCCCCCCGGGCCATGTGATCACAAGGTCCTTGCGAGGACCTCACGATCACATGGACGGCATAGCCGTCCATAGCAATGCCAGCAGGGGGAGTGCCTGTAATGACAAGTACTCCCCCTGCTGCCTGAAATAAATAAAATAGAAGTTTAAACAGTGTAAAATTATATTATATATATACTTAGATCATATATATATATACTTAGATTATTATATATATGATCTAAGTATATATATACAGATACACATACATACACATAAATACACATACACTGTCTAAGTGTATTTTAATATTAATATATATATAATTATATATATATATATATATATATCTTAATATCAAAGTACACGTAGAATGATATTGATTAAATATATATATATATAATTATCATTATATATATTTATATATAATATAAAATAAATATATGTAAATGTGTTAAAAAATAAAAATAATAAATAATATATATGTGTAATTTTGTTCTCACTGTATTTTAAAATTAATATATATTGATATCAAAATACACGTAGAACGAAATAATATATATCTATATACATAAATATATACACGTATATATCACTATATATATACACACCTTTGTATAAATAAAAATAATAAAAAGTTATATACATATATATATATATATACACACACACAAATTGTAATTAATAAAATGACCTAATTATGTAAAATGATTACATAAATACGTTTTACTGTTTTGAAACACTAATATTTGTGTTCAGCGAAGTCTCCTGAGTATAACAGTACCCCCCATATACAGGTTTTATGGTATTTTTAAAAGTTACAGAGTCAAATATAAGGCTTGCATTTCAGTTTTTTCCCATTGAAATTCGCCAGATTGGTTACGTTGCCTTTGAGACCGTATGGTAGCCCAGGAATGAAAATTACCCCCATGATGGCATACCATTTGCAATGGTAGACAAACACTGGCCAAAATTGGCGTTCAAATAATTTTTTTGCATTTTTCACACACAAACAAATATTAACACTAACTTTGGCCAGTGATTGTGACCAAGTGGCTACTAAAAAAGAATGGATATACCCCATTTGCAATACATTGGGTTGTCTACTATTGCAAATGGTATGCCATCATGGGGGTAATTCTTATTCCTTGGCTACCATATGGTCTCAAAGGCAACAAGGAATTTCAGTGGGAAAAAACTGAAAAATGTAACATGCTATATTAGACCCTGTAACTTCCCAAAACACCATAAAACCTGTACATAGGGGGTACGGTTTTACACGTGAGACATCGCTGAATACAAATATGTGTATTTTATTGCAGTAAAAGCAAACATTATTATGACCTTAACAGTTAAAATGTCACGTAGAACTAAAAAAAATTGAAAATTCTTATTTTCTCCCATTTTTTTTATATTTTATTCATATTAGATTGTCCTATATCTAAATATTTGATGTTAAATGAAAGTACTGTTTCCCCTAAATAAAATGATTTATAATAAGTGTGGGTGCACATAGTATGAAAGTGGTGAATTACGCCTGAACAGACATATAGCGCAAATTCAAGTTTTTGTTTACATTTTGTTTTGATCACAGTGTGTACATTTGGCTCAGTCCTTAAGGGGTTAAACATGGATTCCTTTTAGTCTGTGTTTGCTGTATACAACCAGGGCCGGTGCACAGGGCCGGACTGGGGATACAAAGCAGCCCTGGAAAAAAAATTTGTGCCAGCCCCATAAGTCACTGCGCCATATATTGTCGCGTGTAATATGTAAGGCTATATCTTGCCAGGACAGATGATTGAGTAATATATATATATATATATATATATATATATATATATATTGCTTTTTCTAATATAAAATATTGGTCCTTTCAGGGTAAAACGTTTAATTATACAGTAAGCATACGCACATGCAGACACAGGCAATTTCACTGACATTTCAGTGACACACACAAGCTCATTGATACACACACACACAGCTTAATGTGGTGGTACTGGTGTCTATAGCATGTCCCTACAGGCTTTTCAACGTAAACACTGACTTTTCAGACAAAAGGCAGTGTTTACATTGCTTCAAAGTGACACTGCTAGTGACAGTCCCTCAGACGGTCACTAGAGGTGCTTCCTGTGTTAGTGCCCTCCCGCCCTCGCGCTGCTGAATGAGACTGGCGCCGGAATATGACGTCATATTCCGGCGCTGGTCTCATTCAGCTGCGTGCTGGGGAGCAGAGCCAGCGCAGCTCGCGCAGCTCCCTCAGCGGCCGCCAGGACAAGTCCGCCAGGGCCGCCAAAAGACCTCCCCAGCGGCCAGGGGAGGGCTGGCAGCCTTAGGCCTGGGGGGCAAAACCAGTCAAGTAGACTGGTGCACCTGCCCAGGATCAGAGCCGGTGCAAGGATTTTTGCCACCCTAGACAAAATAAAAATTTGCTGCCCCCACATGTCACATCACAATGCCCCACCCATATGATCTGCCATATGAACTAACGCCAGTGCTGCACACAGTGTGTGTTTACATTAAAAAGCCTGCAGGGACCAGCTATAGACACCAGAACCACTTCATTAAGCTATAGTGTCCCTTTAATGTGAGGTAAATTATAGATTAGTGTCACTAATAATATACTAGATTGCCTACTTACAAGCAGATGAGGATGATGATGGGCTGCAGTTTGGCTCCACTGGTCTGGTGTAGAACAGGATCTCTGGAGGCTGTTTGCAACTGTGGTCACAAAATTCAATGTTCTGGGAGAATTGGAAGCAGCTCAATTTTTTGGGGCCCCTTACACAGCTCAAGGTCTGGGCCCCAGGGCCTGACGGTGAGTATGCCCATAAGGCCCACTCATAAGTTCCACCCACCCATGAGTTCGCTCACAGGGAGTGGAGTGTGTAGGGGATGTGTTATGTGTTATTGTAGAGGATCTAATATGTGTGCTTATGGTATGTAGTGTTTAGGGTTACCAGTTTGTGCAGGTGATGCAGTGTGTTTGTGTGTAGTGGAAGCAGTGTGTATTTGTGTATAAGGGATGTATTATGTGTTTCTGGTTGTGTGTAAGGGATGCATTGTGTGAATCTGTGTTTGTATGCATAAGGGATGCAAGGTGTGTGTCTGTATGTGTGTGCATGAGATGCATTGTGTTTCTGTGTGTATGTAAGAAAAGAAGTGTGTGTGTTTGCATGCGTGTGTACGGGTTTGCATTGTCTGTTTCTGTGTATGTGTGCAAAGGATGCATTGTCTTTGTGTGTAAGGGTTGCATTGTGTGTGTGTGTGTAATGGATGCATTGTGTGTTTCTCTGTGTGTATGTATAGGGATGCATTGTGTGTGTGTGTGCGCGCGTAGTGTGAAAGAGCTCCCTGTCTTGGCCCCTGTCCTATAGAGCTGCCCCTTCTTCTTATTCCCCCCCTCCCCTCTTCTTATTCCCCCCATCTTATTCCCCCCTCCCCTCTTTTTATTCCCTCCCTCCCCTCTTCTTATCCCTCCCTCCCCTCTTCTTATTCCCCCCTCCCCTCTTCTTATCCCTCCCTCCCCTCTTCTTATTCCCCCCTCCCCTCTTCTTATTCCCCGCCCTCCACTCTTCTTATTCCCCCCTCATCTTATTCCCCCCTCCCTCTTTTATTCCCCCCTCCCTCTTCTTATCCTGCCCTCCCTCTTCTTATCCCCCTCATCTTATTCCCCCCTCTTCTTGTTCCCCTCCCTCCTCCCTTTTATTCCCCCACTCCTCATCTTATTCCCCACTCCCTCTTCTTGTCCCTCCTCCCTCTTCTTGTTATTCCCCCTCTTCTTATTCCCACTCTATAAATCTTATTCCCCACTCCTCTTTTTTTGTCCCCTGTAGCATCCCTCCCTCCCTCATCTTATTCCCCCTCCCTTCTTATTCCCCCTTCTTATTACCCCCTCCCTCTTCTTCCCCCCACTCCCTCTTTTTATTCCCCTCCACTCCCCTCTTCTTATTCCCCTCCCCCTCTTTTTTTGTTCCTCGCTGTATTCCCCCTCCCCTCTTCTTACCCCCCTCCCTGTAGCGTGGCCGAGCTGCACTCCGGTCCGCGGTGGCCGGCCGGAGTGATAGGAAGGTGCACACTGAGTATGCACTTCCTGTCAGTCCGGCCGGTTACAGGAAACAGAAACTCCTGTTCCGCGCGGGGTTTCTGTTTCCTGTAACCGGCCGGACTGACAGGAAGTGCACACTCAGTGTGCCCCTTCCTATCACTCCAGCCGGCCGCTGGGATTTTTGGCTGTTGAAGCTGCACGGCTTTCCGCCTGACGCATTTCTTCTGGAAACAGGGCTGCAATGTTAAGGGGGCCGGCCAGAGGCGGCGGCCACGGCCCCCAGTATACTACGTGACCCCACCGGGGAGAGATTTCGGTTGTATCCCGATTAAGACCAGTCCGGCCCTGCCGGTGCAAGGATTTTTGCCGCCCTAGGCAAAAGTAAAGTTTGCCGCCCCCCCCATGTGACATCACAATGCCCCACCCATATGATCCGCCATGTTAACTAACGCCAGTGCTGCAGTGCCGCAGTGTTTACATTAAAAGGCCTGCAGGGACAGGCTATGGACACCAGAACCACTTCATTAAGCTGAAGTGGTTCTGGGGACTAGAGATTAGTGCCACAAATAATATACTAGATTGCCTACTTACAACCAGATGAGGATGATGATGGGCTCTAGCTGCAGTCTGGCTCCACTGGTCTGGTGTATTACAGGCTCTCTGGAAAAAAAAAATCAATGTTCTGGGAGAACGGGAAGCAGCTCCATTTTTTTTAAGGCCCTTCACACAGCTCAAGGTCTGGGTCTCAGGGTCCACCTTCATGTTCCACAAATGAGTTTGTTCACAGCGGGTGGAGTAGGGGGATGTCCTGATATGTGTGTAAGGAATGCATTGTGTGAATCTGTGTTTGTATGTGTAAGGGCTGCAAGGTGTGTTTCTGTGTATGCACGGGATGCAGTGTGTGCGTCTGTAAGGGGTGCATTGAGTGTGTGTAAGGAATGCATTTTGTGTTTCTGTGTGTGTAATTTATTCCCCCCCTTTCAATTTATTCCCCAACCTCCCTTTCAATTTATTCCCCCCACTCTCCCTGTCCATTTATCCCCCCTGTCAATGTATCCCCCCTCCCTGTCAATTTATCCCCCCTCCCGTTCAATTTATTCCCCACTTTGCTTTCCGATTCTTCCCTACCTCATTTCAATGTATTCCCCCCTTTTCAATGTATTCCCCCCACCACTCCCTTTCAATTTTGTTTCCCCAGCTTCACTGTAATTCCACCTCCCTGTCGAATTGCCCCCCTCCTGTCAATTGCCCCCTTCTAATCAATTGCCCCCTTCCTGTCAATTCCACTTTGCTTCCTGTCTCAATTCCACCCCCACTCCCTGTCAGATTCCCCTTCCTGTGAGTCCCCACATGCCACTGTCAATTCCCCATCAATTCCCCCTTTCCTGTCAATTCTGACCCCATCAATTGCCCCCTCCTGTCAATTCCCCTTCCCTGTCAATTCCCCCCTTTTCCCTGTCAATTCCCCCTTTCCCTGTCAGTTCCCCCGATCAATTCCACTCCCCCTTCCTGTCCAATCCCCCCCTGTCAGAATTCCACCCCCTTCCCTGTCAATTCAACCCCCTTACACCAATCAATTCACCCCTTTCCTGTCAATTCACCCTTCCTGTCAGAGATTCCACCCCCCCTGTCAATTCTCCCCCCCCCCACTTCCCTACCATTGTTGTAGCGTGGCCGAGCCCTCTATTGGTCCGCGGGTACAGGTAGCTTTTGGTTTCCTGTACCCAGCCGGACTAACAGGAAGTGCACACTCAGTGTGCACTTCCTGTTAGTCCAGCCGGGTACAGGAGACAGATGCTCCCTGTACCCACAGACCAATAGAGGGCTCGGCCACGCTACAGTGAGGGAGTGACAGGAGGGAGCGCTGAGCACTTCCCTTCTGTCAGCCCCTCTCCTCATGCTGTGCCTGGGCGGTGCGCCCTCATGGACGCACCACCCGGGCCAAGCTGCAGCCGCCTGAGGCTCTCTACAGAGCGCTCGGGTGGCTGCAGCATGAGGGGGGCCGGCACTCCTGGCGGCCCCCTTCCCAAGGGGCGCCCAAGGCGGCTGCCTAGCCGCCTAACAGGTAGCACCGGCCCTGTATACAACAGCTTTGAAACACAACTTAGGAAAAGATGCAAAGCCAGTGAACACATGAGTATTATCTTAAACTGTAAAGTAAGCAAATAATCAACCCAATTTTGAGTATATCACAAAATTCAAGGATTGTATGAAAACGTACTGTTTGCTTTGTGTGTGAAAAATTGTATTTAAGTGCAATTGCAATTTCTTCCAATGAATTTCTCATGAAAATTATGCTCTTATTTATTGGCAGCAAACATGCAGATTGGAACTTTCAGGAAAATGTGTGGATAATTTAACAAATGACAGTGAGTACATCATGTTTTAAATAATAGCCACCATCTTAATTCCTACTATGACTGCTATCTGGCATTCTATGTTATAAAAATGCTATCCTTTCTGTTAGAGGAGGCCGAAGTCTGCTCTAAACAGAGTCTCGGGCAAAGTCTTCGTTACTTACAGTCACAGTCTGTTGGTTTAACTGCTGAGGCAAGGTGCACATTAACAAGGCAGGTGTTCAACACTAATCCTAAATGCAAATAACTAATGCTATTTGACTGGTTCTGCTAAGTAAGAGGGGGCAGCATTTCGACTTCAAAAGGAGATTAAGACCTGGAGCCGGTTTATAAACTAAACCGAAAATACAAAATGTAAAGAATGGTAAGAGAAGGGATCTCACACACACAGGTGTGGAGATAGACAGACGGACATGAAATACCACTATATGATCTTTAGATGTGTTTTATGCCTGCAGGGTCTGCTTGCAGTTAAAAGGACATTCTCCTGCCCCCCCAAAAAACAATTGCATTTAATTATTCATTTTTATTGAGATATATCTAAAAAGACAGCTTGCAAAATCTGTTGTTTCTTGTCTGTAGCCTTTGCAAGCTCTCCCCTTCCAACCACTTTCCTTGGCTGTCCAATCACAGATTTCCCAATGGAGCTCAGTAATCTTTGGAAGGTAGGTGCTGCGGTGCAATTGCTGCCTCTTCAGTTAATCTCTACTGAGTTAACGAAACCAGGAAATAGCAAGACCATTTGTCTGCTTGAGAGCCAGAGGGTGTAACCAGGTTAGTTTAGAAAAAAATGTGTAAATTTCAACTGAAATCTGCATTTTTATGGAAATGGAAAAAACGATGGCACACTCTGCATGCATAAAGCATTTCAGCAAGCTAAAGTGTTCCTGGCGTGTCCCTTTCATAAGTAACTTTAACTGCTGTTTGGGGGCAAGAGGGAGCATCGGCACTTTAGAATTTTTTGCGAACGGGCACCTGATAGTTAAATCCAATGCTGCTCTCAGCTCTGATTTCCTCTCTCTCACTAATCACAACTCTGAATTTTCTCTGCTAAGGGGCCATTTTTTCACTCCTCATTCCTTCTTACTAATTGGAAGCTTGATCCTGCAATGCTGCCTGGGACAGAGAAAGAGGTGGATGTAGGAGTGTAGCAGAACATGTGATATGCCACTTTGCCACATGTTAACACTGGTTACTATGGTAACTGCTGTACAATTAGTACTTGCATTCAGTGTAGCCCTGTATGCAGTGGTTGTTAGACTTCGGGTTGCCAGGTTTAAGATGCAATCCATAGCACTGTGTAATGATTCTTCCTTTGACTGGGCGACTGTCAGACCTTGAGAAAGTATTAGTGTTCATGCAGTTTTTTTTCCAGTTTAGCTAATGTTAAATCAGTTGCACAACATTATTAAGATGCTGTTCTTGATTCACATCCCAAGATTACATTGTCTCAATTTTTAGCAACAGTAGATAGTGCTGACACATGTCCAACATGATGACATGCAGTCAGTAAAATGTTCATGCTGTCCTGTGGCATTATGCCCATATACGGGCAGTACTTTTTTTTTTTTGCATTTTAAAAAAATGGCAACTACTGCATCTAACCCAGATGTTTTATCTTCCACTATTCTCTCTAAACTATTGGTTATGCCCATGTTTTCTCTCTGGCCCCGCCACTCCTCCAATTCTCCTGCACAGAAATCCAACATTTATTTGATGCCCCAACTTCCGTTTGTCCTTCTGGTGTTGGACAGTGTAGCGGAGCCACCATAATCCTCTGCGAAGTTTGCCTCCTAGCTGCTATCAAGGGGCTCTTCAGACCGAGTCGCTGCAGCCTGACTGGGGTCTCTGCAGTGGTTATAGCTTTCTGCAGTGATTACAGCTCTGGAGAGCTTTTCTCCTGTAAAGTAGTGAATATAGATAGCTTTTCCCCACACATTAACTGAGACTGCATGTAGGCGAGTAGAATGCAGCTTTATTGTACACATTGCAGGTATTTATAAAGAGAAATGAGGATACCCATACCAGGGGGTCATGCATGCAATGCAATTCCCTTACAATAGTCCCACCCCGGGGCCATTCTGTCTTGATTACAACTTTTCAAGTCAACCAGATCGGCTCCCTGCTGTGCCTTCTCAAACATAGAGACAAAATGTCCCCAATCCTGGCTGCGAGGCAGAAGAAGCATTGGGACAATAGCCATTTTTAGTCCTTTTTGTCCATGTGGTATTGAGGTTCCGTGACAGTCAGCATCAGAGTACACTTTGACTTGATTTTGTCGCAAGAGTCAGGGGAATCTAATGCAAAGTACTGGATTAATGGATATTTTTACATACACCCACAATAGTGGAGAGTTTTTGACAGCAAACAAAACTGTATGTGACATAGCTTAAAGGGACACTATAGTCACCAGAACAATTTTTGTTTAATGATGCTGTTTTGCTGTATAGATCATGCCCTTGCAGTCTCACTGCTCAATTCATAGCCATTTAGAAGTTAAATCACTTTGTTTATACAGCCTTAGACACCCCTCCCTGCATGTAACTTGCACAGCCTTCCTAAACACTTCCTGTAAAGAGTCAGCTATTGTTTGCACTTCCTTAATTTTAAAGTCTGTTTAACTTAGAATTTCTCATCTCCTGCTCTGTTAATAGCTTGTTAGACCCAGAAGGGGCCTATTGTATGTAATTAAAGTTCAATTTACAAATTTGGAGATAAAAACTTTTAAAGTTAGTTACATTGAAAATGAAACGATTTTGTTTTCATTCAGGTTGTGTCAAGCACAGCCAGGGGAGGTGTGGCTACGGCTGCATAAACAAAAACCAAAGTAATTTAACTCCTAAATGGCAGTGAATTGAGCAGTAAAACTACAGAGGTATGATCTATACACCCAAACTGTTTAATTAAGCTAAAGTTGTTTTGGTGACTATAGTGTCCCTTTAAGGACCCATTTTGTTATGATAAAATGACCTTGACCTGTTCTTCATTAATATGTAAAACATAGCAATATAATTTAGCAAAGCATCTCCATTAGATTATTTCCAGTGTTATGTGGGTCCCAAATACACCGGGGAAAGCAGTGCTGCTGCACTAACCAATTTAATGTAAGCAACTGAATAGGGAATGCCCACATCCACTGAAAAAGCACTCGGGCTCAACTTTGGGTCCCGACCCTGTGGTTAACAATCTAGTTACATCTACCTACACTGCTGGAAATGTCAACTGCTGCGTTTGCCTGTGACAAGTTAGAAAATTTAGCAAACAACTGATAAATTCAAGAGAAAGATTAAATTTTTTTGCATACAT